CTCTGTGGTGCTGAGTTCCATAACATCGAAGTCATGGAGGCAACTGCACCGTCTGCATCGTCCAGAAGTACAGGCGCAAGCGTGGGGTTGTGGCGGGCAACTGAACGCATTAGGGAAACAAGGCGTTCTGAATTTGCGTTCTCGAGCTCCATAATGTGTGCCCCTGTCATCAAGACCATTTTTTCTAACGCAAAAGAGTCCTGACCAGCAGGCACGTACGGGCCAACAATTCAGCCCGGAGAGCAACGACGGCCAACAGAAAAGACTCACATGACATAGGGGGAGGGGGAGGACCGCGACCCGGTGGGGCAAAACGGATAACGTCCTGCAGCACGTCTTGAACAGATGAGAATAAATATGATATTGATAGGGTAGCCAGGGAATCGTAATCGGGCCGCACAACCACCTCCGGACCGTGTGTGGAAGCTGCATCTGGTCAGCACAGGGCCATAGAGCACTGTACTTCCGGCGTGATTTGCTTCGTAGGAATCCGACAACGCTAGGAGGGGACGATTCCAGCCCGCTTCGCACGAAGGCAAAGTGCGAAAATTGAAGGTGGCAAGTCATTCCGAGTCTGTGGTGACGAAATTGACCGACAGAGATGTGGAGATTGCGATCCGGAGATTTCTTGCTTTGGTCGTATCGAACTTTGCGCATATGCATCATATGCTGCGATCTGTGCTGAGTGCTACCCAAAATCGAGCCAAGACGCTCGTGCACCCATGCTGCGTTATTAACTACCCAAGACAGAAACGAAAGGCTTGTGCTTTTGTCACGGACACATTGATTGCATTCATGCAATCGTTCTATATTTCTTGAGTTTCGGTCCTTGTGTGTTATCTTCCACACTTACTAAATAAATCTTCATGTCAGTGCCCCTCAAATCTCATAACTTACCACCATGTTCTGACATAGATGAATGTGTCGAACAACGTATTCTAGAATGGACATGCTCGTCAAGATGTTATCAGTTCGAGCCAATTGATTGGATTTCTATGTTTCCCCGTATGCGTTGTCTATGTTCATTGGTGGAAGTGAGACACTACTAGATGATCTACAAAGCCTGTGAGGAAAATGATTCACGAGATGGGAAGCAAGAAAACCACAAAACAAATGAAAGCCATGCAATGTAATCTCGTTGTAAGGCCCTGCACCGGACGCAGCGCATATGTACTCGAGATAAGCCCACAGGGGATAGGTGTTGCCTTTACTGCAGTTGAAACTGAGGGAGCCGAGGGAGTGGCAGAGCTAGCTAAATAAATGACTCTGCCAGCGCTTCTCCGAGATGGAGTGGGAGGGGACACGCTGTCCCTGCACAACTTGCCCCGGCGGAATTGAGAAGAAGGCACGAGCTCGCAACGACGATTTGCTTTTGCAGTATGCTATTTTGCGGTGTCTGCCTATAACTGGGGATGGAATCAACAACTACTGCACGGGGCTTGGACCGGTGTCCTTGCTATAACCGTCACCGATGTTGTTGTTGAATTAGAGAGCATGACCAACGAGACACGAAGAAGCTCGCGCCTGTGGCTTTAGGTTTACGGGATTTTACGGAAAAACGCTTCTCAGATTCGAGATGGAGTTTACGTCAAACAAGTTATTCTGTTTGTTTCCTAAGAGCACCCCCATCGGTGCTGTGCCGATGTATATTTTTTGCATATCCCGATTCATATACCCTATTTCATCCCTATCGGACTGGTCATCTCCAAACATTTGGCCTTTTAGGTATATCTATCTCTATATTGAAAGCCGGATGGAGACAATTTTTCTCATTTGACTCTAAAGAGACGCGAACTACATGGCGCCACTTGGCCAAAATACCATAAAACAGTGTCAACGCAGTACCCTGCGTACTCGATTCCAGGCACCCCCCGTACACAATGCCCAATCAGAGCACATCGACTTCAAATTTACTCCGAAACGGATAGTGCTGCGCACAGAAACACTACTTCGAAGTATCTGCAGATGCAAAATTTTCCACAATTATTTGTCGACATTTACGGGAATGTCCCAGAACGATAATGCAATTCATACTTCAAGTATATGTCAATCTACCTCGACCAAGTTCGTCGAGGTAGATTGACATATTCGTGATTATCATTGGGTGGAAGTAGACTTTCTTGTGGGAGGGACGCAATCCAGCGGGTCTCCACCCACGATCGCAGTGCTTTCATCTGATAGCACGACAACCGAGCCCAGAGGCGGGATCGTTCCCGCCCCAAACGCGTCAAGATGGCGCGGTTCTGGTTTACGCGTTTGGCCAAGGGTTGACTGTTGGATACGAAACAGAATTGTGCTGAACTTGTGAGAGACAGCACTTGTGATTGCACAGTGGATTACAGTAGTACTGTCGGATGGACAATGGGTGCAACCAGAAATGACCACTTCGCCATTACGCTACATTTAGGCCAATCACAGGCCTCAAAATATGGCGCCCGCCCGCTAGATTTTATCACCTGGGTCGGCCCCGCAGGGGTCGATCCAGTTCGCCACTTGACAACCAATTCTGGGAATAAGTCATAAACGGCCAAAGTAGAGCACTCGGCAGATGGGAAAGCTTCGGCAAAGCCGCAGTGCGCGCAGCAAAACCCAGCATGGCGACCTTGAGCTCTCACCGTCGGGCTCGAGCGGCTGCTGTTGCATCATGTGTAGCTGTTTTTGCAGCTGCATGGGGGTTGCGGCAGACAATCCGTCGGCGATCCCGCAGCCCAGGCCGTCAAAAAGCGAGGCGCGCACGGCCACCCCCGAAATGTGCCCACTACATCATCCGAAGGCTACCCCATGGAACCAGATACTGTCCTGCGGATTAGATGTTGACTTTTTGGTGAGTACAAACTTCATCAAGACGCTCGTTCTGGAGAACATTCTGCTGTACTTCGCAACCGAGCGTAGTCGGTTTAATTTTGGAAGCCCGTATAGACAAGGACCGAAGACAACAGGGCGAAAGTCTTTACTGGATACTATAGATCTTCTGGGAATGGCCCTTTGGTACTTGAAGAAGAGGGGTACGATGTACAGTCTGTGCCCAATTTTTGGAATCGTAGGGAGCAGTATCGGTGTGTGGATGGACTACAGTTTAGAAGTTCTCTTGCGTGTAGTAAATCTTAAGAAGGAGTTCGAGATCCGCTGGCCTACTCACGAAGAGCAGAAAGCGTCGGCGGCACTCCTGGAAAATAACAGAATCAATGGGCCGCTGTTACAGGGGGTTTTTGCCGTGACAGATGAAGGACGAATGCCCTGTGCGGACTTTACAAACGCAAACTTGCAAAATGCCTACTTTGAGGGATACACCCAGGCTGTCGAAGTCACAAACCTTTTCGTCTTCAACTTCTTCGGGGAGTTGATCCATGCTGCTTGTAGTGCAATGTGCCTGTCAGGCCGGAACCAGGGTCCAACGGTCCAGCGACAACACAACCAACAAACAACAACCAACAAGAGTTGCCGACGGCACAGCCTTACGGAGTTTCAGATTCTCCCTTTCCCTTTCCCTTTAAGTCGGTTTGCGGCCCACAGTAGCTCAAGTCCCTCACAAGGGGGGGCAAAAGGAAGAGGCCCGCCCCGGGACGAATGGTGGTAGAGTCTTGTACAGGCAGCTGCTCGGCGAGTTCGGGGCGGTGATTAGGAAGCCGGGCCCGATGGGTCGTATAGCCAATGCTCGCGGAGCGCCTGTTACACATTATACCCTTGATAAGGTCTTCTACGGGGGCGTGGCAACACAGCCCGACGGGAATTAGCAAACACGTAGCAGCGCTACACCTCCGTACTGCTCGATGGCAAAGTAACGACACCGGAACAGTCGCAACCTGTATCCGATGGAACCAACACTGTCCTGTATACACAACAGGACCTTCGAGAGAAACGTCGTCGCAACAGCCTCCGTCGGTGGACGTAAACAAGTAGCAGCGCTACACCCACGTGTCGCCCGATGGCCAAGACACCTACACCGGTCCGGTCGCAGCCAAAGCCGATGGCACCAACAACAAACAAAGAACCAACACAAGAGCCCGATGACTCCAGTCGTCACAATGCGGATCGCAATCAGGCACTGTGGAACCAACACAAGATAAGGGAATAGACATAGAGATAGAAATAGAAAAGGATAGGTGAAATAAAGGAAAAGGAAAGGGAAACCCCGAGCGCAAAGGATAACGTAATCTGTGGTAAAAGGGAGCGTCTTGGGAAAGACGGACTTCGACCAAGGCGATATTCAACTCTGGCAACTCGGGTTACCTTTACTGACTTGGTGGTCAGAGGGCTAAGGTATATATCGCCCCGCCGGAGCCACTACAGTAGCTCGCGGCGCTAGATCCTAGATCTAATCTAGTGTCAGCAAAATTAATGGCAACTAATTAACTAAATAAAATAAAATAATTTAAAATTAAAACTGTGCAATTATTCACACGTGTGTCGCCCAACCCGGACTTCTTTTCATATCCAAATATTTTCCTTTCTTTTCACCCCCCTTTTCAGGTGCGTATTGCACTACACTGCCGTAAACTACCCCGGTATCTGGCATGATACCAAATTGGCAGCGGTTTCTGGGTTGTATTATCCCAAGCTCTCGGATGAGTTTACTAAACCTGGAATGGCGCTTTTTGGGGGGACAGCGCATTCGTTAACAATGTCTGTGTTACGCATGGAAAGATTGTAAGGGGCCGTAAGAGCAACGAGACGCACGACATCCCGTGCTCTAATTCCCTTGCTGCTGTAGATATTATCCTACAAAGGGTCATGCCGTGTGAGCGCCAAACGGCTGAATGGGGTATTCGGACATTAAAAGGGCCATTCCCGAGGTTGAGAGTCCCCCTCCCTGCAGATTCAACAACCCGACTTCGTATACTAACGCTATGTTGCCATCTTAACTTTCGTACACGTTTTGTTGGTCTTAATGACATTAGAACCACGTACGCTCGACAAAAGAACGAATAAAGCCCAGTTCACTCCGTATTCGCCAACCCCATGGACCATACGTTCCGCGTGGGTGCAAGCTGTTACTGTACATGAAGCAAGGGACCAAACACCTCGCTGGCTTGGCTGCAAATCATCGATATAACTATCGCAATGACCACATCCGACTAGGTCTGCGTAGGGCTGTGCACGAAAAAGGCAGGAACAAGACGAACAACCATCGACAGCAGAAAGCGCAACGAACCGCACTCATGCTTTCGATCTTCCCCCTCCTAGCAGTTCTGCTAGCTGCAGCAGCAACTCCAGCAGCCGCCTGCTACTGCATTCCCCCCGCCCACTCACTCATCTCACTTTTCCTGTCCCTCGTCGATAGGCGCCGTAGGGGTGACCTTGTTTCTATCCTGCGAAAGCTTTTTTATCACGTCCGACATCTCCCGCAGCAGCTCATTCGTGTGTAGCAGGCTTTAACGGACCTCCTCCTTCACGGCCTTCTTGATGTCTCGGCTCATGGCGTCCCCAGCCTCAACCTGCCCCATCAAGCAGAGATCTCCAAATGCTTCCCATGTGGTCTGTCATCTTCTCAAACTGTTCCAAGAACTGTTTGTCGGTGCTGGTAGAGTTGTGCGACAGCGGTGTTGTCGTCGCTGTGGTCCCTGTAGCTCCTACTTTTCGTTTCTTCTGACGCGCTCCTATAAAGTGAACCCCCTCAGCTTCTTCAGTTTCCCAATGCCCTCCGGCAGCCAAGCTATCTTCCTCAACCTCGTCTTCGGTGTCTCCTAGAACACATGCCGCGCACTTGTTCTCGATCGCACGCACTACATGCTTGGCGTTGCGAACCGGTGAGGGGCATGAAGGGTCGCCTGTCTTCTTCTTTGCGTTTGCCAATTTGTCGAACTTGTTCTTAATTGAGTCATGGTCTCTTGGAGGTCGATCGTTTTCTACAGCCTACGTAGCGTAGCGGTCCGCCGCTGTAGCCCAATGATTGGCACCTAGTGGTTCTACTGCGCCAACGAACTGCAGCAGCATGTTAATATCTTCTTTCGAATAGTTCAGAGAACCTGCCCTTGTTTGCTTAGAGCCTCGCTTAGCAGGCTTTGGCGCAGCACCCTGCTGAGAGGGTAAAGGAAGAGGAGGGGTTCACGATGTGACAGGTGGGGGACGGCCGGGAACGAGGTCGATTGTGTCCGACGAGGGGCTGCCGGCGGTGTCGAGGGCAGTCGCGGCTTGGGCGGCTGATTGAGCTTGGTGCGGGGCGGATTGGCCAGAAGGGATGGTCAGCTTGGAGCCGTCTGATGCAGTGGGGAGGATGGTGGCCATTTGGGCTAAGAGATTGTGGTGGGCTTGAAGTGCGTGGGCACGCTCGGTAGAGTTTACCCCGCCGCCAGACACACGCATGGATAGGGCACAAGCAAAAGGGCCTGGGAAGTGGCCGAGTGGCGAAATTGGGGTTTTTTGAAAACTTCTCATAAACTGGTGATTTGATAATCTGGCGGTTCCTGGTTGCACTCAATGTCCAAGACCCTGCGACCTCGCTTATTTAAGCGACAGCGACGGGCAATGACAGTAAACAGTCAAGGATCCTTTGGGAACGGATTTGCTTCGACGGTGACACACCACTGGTCAAGACAAGCGTCTGACTTAGGCGACATTGTCGGCATCTGACTTGCGACGTTTCCCTGGCTCTATTTCCTTTGCCATTTCCTTCTCCTTTCCTCCGTCGTTGCGACTACACAGGCTAAGACTAGCCTCCAGCCTAGGCGTTACTTTGTCACTCGACGTTTCTATTGTTTTCCTTTTTCTTCAATCGTTGTGACTTTGCCGGTAAAGATTAGCCTCTACCCTAGGCGTGTTACTGTCGCACGATCTATTTATCTCTCTATAAATTGTGAATTATGTCAGGTCGCGGGCTGTGACAAACCTTTAGCCTTGACAGCACTACCGACATCTGTTCCGCTCGTTCCCTCCAAGAGTTCCCGCTACTCGGTGCTCTGCCCGTTTCTGACACTAGTCTCTAGGCCCTGGTTATCCTTTTTTTGGGCGTGTTTGTACGCAACCTCTTCCAATGCTGTTCCCAGTCCGGGTCTGCACCTTGACCAGTACGTCGTGTTTTTACAGTCGGCCGACGAACTTCCGCGTTGCTCTACCACCGTCTCGATCTACCGGAGGACACCCCCTATTGGTTGTTACCGCTTCCTCGAGCTAGCTCAAAGCTGGCGACCACCACTATACTACAGTGACATCCCCGTGCCCATTTGTCACATAAACGAACTTGTCGTACCGCCAAAGCCTATTAGCCACCAAATTTCGCCAAACCGATAAGTGTGCTCTTAGAGCACTCCCACCGGTTTGGCGAAAGCTCGAGCAATGGATTCATGTCACTAATCTACTGTACTTCGGCTCCAAGGGCCGTGCCCTTTCTACAGAGGTCCTGGATCACTGCTGGGGGGATGATGAATTATATTGCCTCGCCGTCAATTTGCATCAGACAACAACAGAAAACAAATCAGGCGACGATGGCAAACTAAAAGGCGCATTTGAGGCTCGGTTCAGGAAAATGAAAGATACAGAACGTCTACAGTTTGCACAAGCGTGTGCTAAATTCAGGAGGTCTCCGAGAACTTCTCAGTTGGATAGTATTGAAAGCGGATGTCAAAACAACTGGAGAAAGGGTTCAACGAAAGTTTGGCAATATCGCAGGCCTATGCCCCGAGAGATGCAGAATTTGTCTCAGATCCAATTGATTCCTATAGAACCGGAGGGAACAACGTTTCACATTTTGCGAGAGCTTTTTTCTGATTTTGGTTTGTTGCAACGTCGATTTCTGGCGGCTTTGGGGAGAGGCGAAGGACCAGAAATGCTGGAAAGTTTGATGTACAAGCAAGTTTCTCTTGTTGTCAATTAAGCACAGTGGGGTAGAAAGGAAGGACTTTTGAAGCTTGCCTTCCATTATACCAGTGGATTAATGAACGAAAAAGTCAAAATTGTGGACGGTAGAAAAATCCCAGCCTACTTTCAGCAGGTATCTCGAGTGTTGTCCCTTCTTGCCGTACCGAGCGTTCTAGAAATAAGTTGTGCCCGCCATCTTCAACACCGGTTGTTGGTCCATGATCAAAGGTGGACATCATCTGCCCATATGTACATCCTTGAGAGATACTTCGTCCAGTGTCTCGAAGAAGAAATGGGACCTGCTTTTGTGGCCAACATGAAAGCGATGATAGAGAACGTGGACGAGAAAATACGAGACTATCAATTCAACTTTGGTCAACATGTTCAGATTACCGGTGCTCAGCAGATTGCAAAATGCAGAGTTGCACTGCTCAACAAAGCGAATTGGCGAGATGTCGCCATGGAGCTCCTCGATTTGCCGCCGCAGCTGTCCTCACTTCTCTCTAGCTTTAAGCACGGGATGTCGGTGGAACAATCGAAGAATTATGATTTCTTGCACAACATCGGAGAAGTTGTCCTTGAAGTTGCCTTTGATGTCAACGGTAAGAGCCGGCTAGTTGAAGTTAAGGGAGGCATTCTGCAGGCTTCTATTTTGCTCACTCTTGCCTCCAATTCTGCAATGCTCTTTCAAGAGCTCGAAGACGAGCTCTTGGTAAAAGGGATTCCTCGCAACTCAGGGAAGCTTGACAGTACAAGGGTCAAATTGTATGCTGCCTTGAGGGCAATCTTGGTCTCTGATCTCGGGCTCATCTCAAAGGACCCGCCTACCGGCCAAATAGCGGCCACGGACCGGCTGAGCATTTCCACAGTCAATTCTGATATGGCTATGATTTCATTGCCCCGGTATACGGCGTGGATAGAACTAGAAGTTCGCGCCCTGATTGCGAAACAGAAGAGCACTGAAACGGGAACACTTGACGCCAGTTGGTCTATCGAAACTTCGCGTGCAGAGCTCATGAAAATTTTGAAGCGGAATGAAGAAATGAAGACACTGGAAATGCTACAAACTGCCATTGGGAACTTGAAGGATATCGTGCGAATTGTTGGAGATGAAACAGAATTTATGAAAAAGCAACTCGAATGGCTTGTTGACAATGATTACATCGAGTACAAGAAGTCAGATAAAGAAGAATATAGGGAAGTCGTGGTCTACGTACGTTAGACCGAGTGCTCGTGCTTGCGCCTGCCTATTCCCACAACAGTGTCTGCCCGAAGCCCTCTCTGTTCATCAAATACTATTGTAGTAACTATGAATGAACTGTTTGTTGTTTTGCGTTTTCGGGTCTAGACTTTCTTCTCCGAATCAGAATTTACTAAATGTTGATGTTAGGCTATGCATGCATCAACGCATGCCCTGGTCATGTCCCCCTGTTGAATATCGTTACTCCGTATACCCTGGGTTCCGCTTCTTCCTCTGTTCTGGCCGGAACGCTTCCCGGTCGCGTAGTGGTTATCTCTCACAGCCCGAGAACTGTGTACAGGGCATTGACAGTGTCTCAAAATCCACGATAATCTCGCTATACGCTTTCCAGAAAATCCCGGAAGGAATCCTCATCAACCGGAGCCATCAGCTGACCTGCCTCATCGAACAGCGGGCTTTCCTCGTTTGCCTCCTCCGCCTTCTCCAACAACCTCTTACAATGATACAAAGACACCAACGCTTTCTTCAACGTCGTCAACTTCCCTCGTTCTGCAACCGATTTCCCAAGATGTGCCTCACACTTGTCAAGCGCTTCCAGTACACTACCAATCATATCTGCATCTGGCACTGGAGTAGGTACCGTAAAATCTGTAGACGCTGATTGAAAGTTAGCCTGCGTTAAATCGGGAGGAATGGCCCCGTCTTTGAACTCTTGCGGCTGCATAAACTCTGCCTTTGTCACGCACGGCTCGTACCTACAAACCCCAGGCCTGTCATTCATAGAGTTGCATGCTTTCGCCCAAGGACCATTCATCCCAGTCTTAAACACTGGAGTATACTTGGCTTGCAGTTCAGCACCTCCCTTAATTTCAACAAAAGCGCAGCTCCAATAGTCTGCGAACAACCCTTTGGCATGCGGAGTTTCTACAGTGTTAGTTTGTAGACTCCCGCCAACGCCCCCATACCAAACCCATCCAAGCACGTAAACACCATCTGGGACGACTGTAGGGATAGTGAACTCGCTCTCATAGTATGCAACTGGCCCGTCATGTAGTTTCCCGTCACCTCCTACAAGTGAAAATCCTCTTCGATCGCGTCCTAGTTCATTTCTGCCCGCAACTTTAACATGAGAGCCCCAGCAGGAGAAGTGAAAGGCGTTCTTCTTGTGAATGTCCTTGTTCATCATTTTATTGAGCGGCACCAACGAGTGTCGGACAAAGCCACCGGGGCCATGGTTGTTGCGTTGGTACTTGACTGTAACCCTCTGCCCGCGCTTGTACGACGCCGATGGATGTGTAGGGGATGTGACGATGGGAAACCCTGGCTGGAGAGATATCACATCACATGGGCCAGGACATGTCAGTATTCCGC